TTGTTGATTTGAATTACGAAACTATATTAAATTTTTCTCTATTTCCCACTTTAATTATGGAACGTTATCAAAATATAAGAATACGTAGAGAACAATTGCAATAAAATATCTCTTACTTTAATTTTTTCGTCATTTTTTGAAAGTTTGATATGCCCCCCAACATAAAAAGTCTGCGTCCGCCCCTGGAGACAATTGTGGTGGCTGGACAATTCTAGACAAAAGAAGATCGACAACATTAAAGCATTTGGAATATCCGTCGAAACAGTTGTTACTGCCTTAGTCACATATCAGAATTACACAGGTCTAACAATTGTCCGTGGCTTTTCACCTGATCATTATGAGGGTGGAGCCTGGAACACTGGAGGATCATGCAGTGGAAAGGTCAGGCCTGCCTTGGATAGTGAATTAGTTGAGAACAGTTTTCCCAATGTAATGCACGAGAAGCAGGTGACCGGGTTTAATCGTGCTATGAAGAAAAAGATGAACAAATCAAAAATGAAATCAATGGATATAACAGAAGCATTTCCATATCGCCGCGATGGACATGCAGGTCCACATTGAAGCCCAGACAGATCCAAATAAGATCACAAAATGGGACCCAGATGGTAGGCCACACCTCAGGATTGTTTGCACTTGTGCATGCTAGGTCCATACATGGAATGAACTCATGTTTGAAGTTATAAGAAGAGAATTTGAGGACAGACAGAATATTGCTTCATGAGTCACTCATGTTACTAAACTGTATCCTGTATTTCTTTAATGATATATACATATAAAAAAAATTAACTTGTGGACGGAATGCAGGTTAGCTAGTTTTTACTCTCTAACATCTTATATAGAGATACTGTAACAGGTCAAGTTCATTATTTTCTTCAATTGTAATAAATGTCGGGATTCACAAGAATATAAGTTATTTGTTAGTCTGCTGTTGATTATGTGATTTCAAAGAATATAATATTGGATTCTTGTTTTTTTTGTCTTTCTTTCTCTCTGTATATGTATGATGACCAATTTATTTAACATGTTTTGGATGTGATCGTAGATCTGATGCAAAAAATCGAGCTTAGTGTTGTTTTTGCTGTAGAAGGTAAAGTTACAGGCAATGTTCTAAAATACGTAATGCGTTGCGATGTGTCGAGGCCGAAAATCAAGAATCACAAGTTTAGGTGTGTCAATGCGAAGCATAAGTGCCATAATGCGTTTCGTATTTTTAAGGCATTAAATATATTTTTATATAAAAAAGTAGATTTTTTAATATA